CATAGGGCTCGCACACTAGTCTAACCCACAAACTTTTTAGGTTGCGATAACACTATAATTTTGGCGGTTTTTTTTTTCAGCAGCTCAGGAAATAGTCAAAAAATGCCGCATTGTCGTCGAAGCATCTGGTGTTTGTCCGGATAATCGGGCTGATTGCACAAAATCGGGAACCCCGTTCACTCTGATGCCGGAACAAGCCGCTGTACTTGTTGAATATGGTTAGTTTGATAAGATAAAAAAGTTTTATCAAAATTCAGAAAATCCTAACACTCTTATCAAGCCATAAAGCTTTATCCGATTTTGCTTTCAAATAAATTTTTGAGAGGAAAAAATCTATATTTTCTAAAAACCCATAAAATTTAGATATTTGAAAAATCGATATTTTTATTTAAGGTTAAAGAAAAAATATAAGAAAGAATGATGAAAAGCATGTAAGGAATTATTAAAGTAGGTAAGAAATGTTTCGGTCCATTAAGTCGTATACATTTCTTACCATTACCACAATTGGACCTCGTCAGTACGACGATTGTGGTAAAAAGTTTTTTAAAAGGGTAAGATGGAAGAGTAAATAAGTGAATTGTATGGAAAAGTAATAAGTCGAAAAGGAAAGTGAAAGAAAAACAGTAGGAAAAGTAGAAGGTGATAATGAAGAAAATGCAGAACAATCAGAAGATGAAGTAAGTAGGTGTCTAGAAGTAAATGTATGGAAAATAAGAAAGGTAACTGATGTGAAGTAAGTTATAAAGAGCTGAAGAATTATGAAGTGTAAATTATTAACAAATCTTAACTGTTGAAAACTAGCAGTATCCATCCACTTTAGTTTTATGTTTTGAATAATTTCATATGTTTAAACAAAGCTGCTTTTTTGGGTTTGCAAGAATTGTTCGATTAAAAGACGACGCGGAAACTTGCGCCGATGAAGCGGTAAATATCGCTCGGTCAGGCACTGATTCACAGTCAGCGACGGTTCCTCCTGTGAATGATGCAGAAAGAAAGGCAAAAGCTGAAATGATTGCAAAAGGCCGTAAAGCCAAAAAGCTGAAACGTCAGGCTAACAGTGAAGCTTCAGCTGTTGCCATAAAGGTACTTGCTTTTTTACTTTTTTTTAGAATTCGTTTTATAAGCAGTGGTAATGGTAAGAAATGTATACGACTGTTCACTACTAATTTGCACCACACAATTAATTTAACCCATAACTTTCACTAACTTCGATTATCACAATCGTTGTACTGACGAGATCCAGTAGTGGTAATGGTAAGAAATGTATACAACTTAATAGACCGAAACACTTCTTACCATTATAATAATCTCACGAATTTCCTAATTTTCATTTTTCACCTTTCTTTTCTTTTTCCCATACTTCCCTATTATAACTTTCTATTGGTAGCGGATCCAGTATTACATGTTTATCTTAGAAAAATCCTAGGAAAAAAATTTTGGATTTTACGGTCTGTAGCCCAATTTGCCCATCGTGCTTCAGTAGAATTAGGGGTAGATGTAAGTGAATAAAGTAGAACAAACCCAAATACAGAAACAGTAGAACAAATTTAAATGGGCCAAAATCGAGACCATTTATGTAGACATATTTACATAAAAATTTTATGTGATAGTATCAGCAAGAATAGGAATGTTTTGATCTATTAAACTGTGTACATCTTATCCTAGTATTGCAATCCTAGTGCCTCATTAGTCTAGCGGTTGTTTTACAGATTTATATTTTTGTGTAAAATATTGACCAACACTATAAAATCATGACTATAATAGCCCGTATAATTATAATAATCATAATTATAAAATCGTAATTACAATAATTATAGAACGGCAATAATTCACTTCATAGTGCTCCTCATTTCCTTTCAGGCCTCGCACATTTCACACCTTATACTTTAGCGGCGTGGTTTTTTTTTGCATTGGCCAGTCTAAACTGAGGAACTGGCCCCATTACACAGCCAAGATTTTTATATTCGATTTCCAGGTGCGGCGCTGTGATCTGGAAAATATTGAAGTCACAGCAGAGGAAATAAACGATGTGATGAAAGAACTAGCTAAAGCTGCGTCTACCAGTGAGCCGCGTGAGATCTGGCACACTCCTTTATGTAAGCCTTTTTTTGGCATTACTAAGGGTTTATATTGTTTAGGGCAAAAAATACGCCAAAAAATCGCTGCGATGTCCAAAACAGACTATGTGTGAGAACCATTTTCAGTGTGGAAGGCTGTACTGATGATTCTTGTTCCTACCGGCACGCATAGTTCAGTCGGTGTTTACAGCTAAGGAATGAAACACAGACAGACTGCATCGTAAATTATCTTCTTACACATGACACTTAAGTCCAATCCTTTTATCCTGTTATTTCAAGTTCAAAATGATCAGTCAAAATCGCCCTATTTGCTTTATCAATGGCTAAATCGAATTTTCAGATGACATCCGTGAAGAAGCGTATGAAGAAATGAAACGGCCACCTTTCCCGGAAAATTCGAATTTTCGGGTCCGTCTAAATACATTTCGTGATTTATGGCGTCGTGGTTACTACCTAACATGTGGTTTAAAATTTGGTTGCGATTACCTGGCGTACGAAGCAATTCCCGGTGAAGTGAGTGAAAATTCTGTAAAATTT